CGCGGACCGCGGTCAAGCCTTTTTGGCTTCAAATCTTGTTCTCTGGATCTGGCCACTGCGGACCGCAATAAATGGACCGCGGCCGTGATGGCTTCACCGCTACCGCATAAAATCAACTGCGGTCAGCGATGTCTTGAAAACTTCCAAACTTCAGGCTCTCTGAATCTCTTCTTCGCGAACCCCAAGAAATGGATCTCGTCCGCGATGAGGCTACCACGGCCATGTAGAATCAACCATGGGCCGCGTTGCTTGAAATTCCAGGATTGCATCTTCTCTGATCTTTGCCACCGCGGACCACGATAAAAGAACCGCGATCACAGTGGGTCTATTGCAACCGCGTTGGATTTACTGTTGTAGCAGTGCTTTGACTTGTTCTTGGCACTTGTGCAGGTTTCACTCCTTTTTGAGCTGGTTTTGACTTCCTTGTCATTTTTTGACCAAACACTACAAACAAGCACAACATGTAAGCTTTCGGGATTACTTATATACACTTTTAATCCAAAACTCAAGCAAAAAGGAGTATAAAATTGACTAGAATCCCTAGTTATCAGTATGTAAGTCAGGAAGGCATAAATAAGAATAGTAATGTAAGCACGGATAGAGAATATACAACCTCTAACATATGAGTGCCTTTAAGGGCGACTGACATGAAATACATGATATATATATATATATATACACACACACATATACTTTGAAAACATACGCCTCAGTGGTCATCATTATCATCATATCGTACCCGGCTGTAATAGGCTTGGTAAAAATGTACCCGACCATCATAAGGCTCGGTAGAATCGTACCTGGCCACATGGAGCTCATCAACTCCACGTGGAGCATAGGGAGAGGAAAAAGGACTTGCATATGGTGTTCATCGACTTAGAAAAGGCGTATGATAAAGTTTTGAGGGAGGTTTTGTGGAGATGTTTGGATGCTAGAGGTGCACCGGTTGCCTACGTTAGGGTGATTAAGGATATGTATGATGGAGCAAAGATCGATAGTGGGTGGGGACTCGGTCCATTTTCCGGTTATGATGGGGCTGCATTAGGGGTCGGCACTCAACCTTTTTTTATTTTCCCTGCAATGGACGTACTGACACGCCACATCTAAAGGGAAGTGTCATGGTGTATGCTATTTGCAGATGATATTATATTGACTGACGAGACGCGAGGCAATGTGAACGCATAGTTAGAGGTATAGAGGCTAACCCTGGAGTCTAAAGGTTTCAAGTTGAGCAAGACCACGATGGAATACTTGTAGTGTAAGTTCAGTAGTGGGACTCAAGGAGGGGAAAGGGAGGTGAGGCTAGACTCGCAGGTCATCCCTAGGAGAAGAAGTTTAAGTACCTTGGGTCTATTATTCAGGGGGTGGGGAGATCATTTAAAATTTCATACATCGTATTGGGGCGGTATGAAGGAAATGGAGACTCGCTTCCGGTATTTTGTGTGACAAGAAGGTGCCACCGAAACTTAAAAGTAAGTTCTATAGAGTGGTGGTCAGACCAACGATGTTGTATGGGGCTGAGTGTTGGCCAGTGAAGATCTCTCATGTCTAGAAGATGAAGGTAGCAGAGATGAGGATGTTGAGATAGATGTGCAGGCACAACAGGTTAGATAGGATTAGAAATGAGGTTATTCGCGACAAGGGGTGTGGCCCCTATTGAGAACAAGATACAGGAAGTGCGGCTTACGTGGTTTGGTCATGTAAGGAGGATGAGCACAGGAACCCGGTGAGAAAGTGTGAGAGGTTGACATTGGAGGTCCTACGGAGAGGTAGAGGTAGGGCAAAGAAGACGTGGGTAAAGGTGATTAGGTAAGACATGGCGCAACTTCAGCTGACCGAAGATATGACCCTTGATAGGAAGGTATGAAGGTCGAGGATTAGGGTAGTAGAGTAGGTAGTCGAGAGTATTCATAACAATAGTATTGGCATGCAGTCTCGTTTTCTGTTGGTAGTAGGTTTTTATGACTAGCCATTGTTTTCTTTCTTTGTCGATCACCTTACTATCTTGTTGTCTTTATTCTGCTTTTATAGGGCTTTTGGTGCTGTCCCTTCTTGTTTTTATTTTTATTAATGTGGTGCTTAAGCTTTCCTGAGCCGAGGGTCTATTGAAACAACCTCTCTATCCTCACAAGGTAGAGGTAAGGTCTGCGTACACACTACCCTCCCCAGACCCCCACAATATGGGATAATACTAGGTATGTTGTTGTTGTTGTTTCCATATTTATCTGGGTATGAAGGTGTGAAGTCGGGTATGATGATTTGAAGTTCTAGCTTAAAGTTTTAAAGGTGAAATGAGATGACTTGAAGATTGAGGATGAAGAAGTGAAGATGTGAAGAACAATTTGTGAAGATTCGAGGGAATGATGAACATTTTCGAGGGTAACTCAAGAAGATTCGAAATTGGAAAGTAAAAAAGTGAAAAAACGAAATCGAAGCTTTTATAGGAGGGAAATGATTAATGCGTGATGTTTCGCATTTGATGCCGACCGAGAATGGTGAACTGACGGCTGGCACATGTCTGAATTCAGAACGACGGGACTGGTGGGGCGTTTCACTGACTCATCAACCAGATTGTAGCATATAGAGGGAGGAACTGGGGTCAATTAATCACTTCTCATTGTTTCAATAAATATGCTCTTTGAAAAGTGAGGAGACTATCTGTGTGCGGGTAAAATCGGAGATAAAGTTCCCCAAATTTTCTGGTGAAGAAACGAAAGGAAAGCTCGACCTGACATGGCCTCGAGTAAAGCCGAGGGCTTCCACAGATCAGAGCCTAGGAGGATGAATGGTGTGCCTAAGACCGGACACGGCCAAGCATTAGGCTCTAGCAAAGTGAAGAACCTATACTAAGGGAAAAGGCAGTTAGACAGGCCCTTAACCGGATATTATGGCGCAAATCTCTCCCGATATCAACGGCGTATCGATGTTTACTTGAAGGAATTTTTTTTCCTGAGACGTGTACTAGGATTGGAACTCCCCTACTATATAAAGAGGAGAACTTTTTATTATGAGGATCACTATTGGCACACATATCAAAGTAATAAAGTTAATTTTTGTTCTCTAGTTATTATTTAAAATGTTCTTCAGCTGCTTGATTATTGAGTAGCAATCGAGCCCGTTCTGAGGGTTGGGTCAGAACCAATTTCCTACATCCATCGTAAAGCCATACTTAATCATCCATCACATTTGATTTGATCGTTTTGTTTTCCTTTAATTCAATTATTTACTGTTCTTGGATCATTCATATTAAATTAAATCACATATCCTTTACATCGCATATAAATTTAATTGTTACTCATTTTAAGGGTAAACACAAGCAAATATCAAGTCGAGGTGGTTGTTCTTATATTGGCTCATATAGTACTTGCGCTCCACCTCCACATTGGGAGCAAGAGATGGAGAATATGAGAACACAATTAAAGGCGCAAACACGCTTATTTCTAATGATAATAGGGAATATCCCTGAGGAGTTTCCTTACTTATTTCCGACTCCTCCACATATACAAGTACTTATTTTTTCTTTGTTTACTCATTCAATTTGAATATGCTGCGGAGAGACTAATCTTTGACTCCAAGTTGATTAGTTTGATCAGTACCTGCATAATGTGTGCTTATTAGCTTCTTGTCACATGGTTGCAATGGTCAAATTATAAAAGTATAAAAGTTTGAGACTACTAATTAATTTTTTTTCTTTTTTGCCGGAACACGATTCAGAAGGTAGCGTTCCGTCACCAACTGGGCCAAGAAAATCCTTTAACAAAAGTAACAATGAAAGCGGAGCAAATGACAATTAGTAATTATTATTATGATGAACTACGTTTTCTCTATTGTAATTGTTGAATAACTCTGAAACTTAAGCTTGAACCTTTGATGGGATTTTGGGAACTTATGTTTTAATATGGTGACAATTTTGCTTATTTATTTGGCAAAATACATAGTTTACCCATCGATCTTGCAACGAAAGCCCTGTTACACACCTCTCATTCATGTAAAACCTTTTACACACTCAAAATTTTAAAAGTATATTTAAGACACACCACTTTTGTGTTTGACTAATTTTTCAGATAACGTGAAAGTCACGCCCTAATAGGATCGTGACATGTGTCATTGACTTTAAAAAGGAAAAAAACTATTAGAAATTACAATTAAACCCCATCTTCTTCATCTTTCCATTTTCTATATCAAGTACCATTGTTGCCGCCATTATGATTGTTTGTGAGAAATTTTCCAAAAATATTAAAATTCAACCACACTATCTAAACAACTAACCGAAAAAATCGAGCAACATATTGAGTTCAACAACCCAATAATCAAGAAATCAAGAAGACTCAATTAAATTTTAAAGCTTTTTCAGTACCGCAATGGTGGATTCTAAATGTTTTCACCAAACCTTCATACTACTGTTAAAGCTTTTAAATCTACCATAAATAAATGATTTTCTATTTTGGACAATAAACCAACAAAAATCGCTCAATTTTTAGATCTGAAATCTTGTGTTCTTTCAAAAATTCTATATGGGAAAGAAGACAAGGGGGAGGGGAGGGGAGGACTTCCTATGGGGAGGGGAGGACTTCCTATGGGGAGGGGAGACAAAATATGGGATTTTTATGGGTTGCACGCGCATTTTTTGTGTAAACACACGAGTACTACATGGTAAAAAATAGTGTCTTAGACACACTTTTGAAAGGTTGAATTAAAATTATTATGATGGGTGCTTGATTGCACAAGGGTGCAGTAAAAAGGATCTAAATGTGAAATTAAAAAACTAATATTAAGAAGATTACAATTAGGGCAGTTTGAACTGCTATGTGAACATCTGTAAATTTTTTAACAATTACGTCGATTACAACCGCCATAATAAGCAAAGTAAATAGCCATTTTAAGCAATGCATATTACGGTGGTTTCCTCTGCATATTTACGTCTGTAAAAGAAAAACTGTTGTATTATACCTTTTGGCGGAAGGGATTATGACATTTTTATAAGTCGCCATTTAGGATAGTTACGGCGATTCGGAACCGCCGCTATATGCATAAAAATCCGCCGCAATTACCCCGTTTTTTGTCATGTATGCTAAAAATATCATGAAATATGACTTCAGAAAGCACAAAGCTGAGACATTTTCCAAGTTGGAAAGTGATTCTTCCTCGAGAGAAAAGGAAAATTAAGGACAAACAATATGAGTCATGAAAATTCTTGTCTCCTCAGAACTTCCAAGAATTTCCCTTGGCTTCTACTTCCTCGCCAAGATACACTGTTCGCAATAGCCCTTCTTGGAGTAGAGAAGAGCAGAAAGGGACAATCTATACAGCTACAAATATATGAACATCTTCACACCTCTCATCTTATTTTTCCCCTTTCTTGTTTTTCTTTCTTCTATCACCAATATCATTTACTATAACTTTGTATTTTATTCTTTGTACTAAAGCCTCACCTAATTACTCACCTGAAATATACAAGTAAAAAGGCAATATTCCAATCAGAAAAATAATCAGACAAAAATATTCAGCCATATTGTCGTAGTTTATATCAATGAGAATCACTTTTATACATAAATTGTGTAAAGAAAATTTAAATTTATTAGTCCATCTAAATGATAACTACAACTAGTAACTTGGAAAATAAAGTGCATTAAGTTATAGCCTGTATAGAAATCTATTAACACCATCAATTTTATATAGTTTAAATTCGGTAGTCCCAGTTTATATGATGAACTTACAGTTTTAGTCCGTTTCTAAAACGAATGACACTATATTTTTATATTTAAAAATAATTTAATTGTAAGCTTCCTTTTTACCCTAATGAGATTCTTTATGGGCACAAAATATTTATTACATATTGTAAACCACAAGTTTCAATAGTAATTTTTCATTTTAACTTTTGAGTCGAGTCAAAGTGCATCACATAGGACGGCAAGAGGACTATATAGTATCAGTTTAACTACTCTAAATACCATATTAGTCGTGAAATTCCTATACAAGTCCAGTTAAGAGAAAATAAGTAGTGACATACCCATAGTTCTTTTGCAATGAAGAACAGCCTCATAAATGGAGCTCTCAGAATCACAAGACCTGCGCCAATCATCAACAGAATATGTTAAGCTTGTCCTTGGAGATGTCCCCTGTGAACAATAAATCTTCACTCCCTCTATTGTACTTGTACTAATTCCACTTTTGCACCCAAAATCACATCTTATTTTTTGGCACAAAGGCTTCAGAAAATCGAACAATCTTCCAAATCTCCTAAATGATATGCAGAGAACTCTGTGCACTTCTTGTTTGGTTTTTAAATGATAGTAATTAGTACTCTCCATTTTCATTGGATTGATGAGAAGAGGCATAGGGGATGAGCCTTTAGATATGAATTCATCAGCATGAACAAGTGTTAATGGAGACTCAGCTGATGTTGGAAAATTAAAACTGATCAAATCTTGTGGATTAACGTTAGAGAAACTCTTTGAAGGAGAAAGTGTAGGATCCATTTCAATGTAGGCAGCTTCGTCAAAATCATCGGATGCATATTCCGTGGAGATTCTCATCAACGAATCCTCCATGCTTTCAAAATATGGCTTCCAACTCTAAACTGAGGAGGAGAAAAGAGAAAACAAAGAAAGGGCTCTGTATAGTTTTAAAAGGTATACAAAAAGAGGGTGTTCATCAAGCATAATAGAACATACACATGTATGTATGTATGTATGTATGTATGTATACTATAAAAAGTGAGATTAATATAAGAATTTACACCATCAATGTATATAATTTAAATTATAGTAGTAATTTTATTAAAGGACTCACTATCATTTTGCTAACAATAATATATGTGGAGGTCTACTATAAACAAATTTCAATTAGTAAATGATAATAAAGTGGGAGTAGAAATAGATAAGCAAGCCCCACATGCACTCATGAACTTTAAATTACATCCAAAGCTTAGCTAAATTAGAATTGTATTTTAGTATATTATATGCTATATATAATTTGTAGAACTACTAAACTTCGCGGAGAAGTTGGTTTCTCTTCATGACTTTATAGAAATCGCCATTAATAGCTAAGGAATTAAAATGTCTGTTAGTAGACATGTTCATGCTTTGTCCAGAATCATTGCCAAACTAATTAATTAAAGCCAGTATGCTGAGAATTCAGCAATAAGCTTTCATACTTAAATCACAATCCTTAAAATGCACATTGTGGACAGGTCTTATGATTTGCTTTGGTTGCTATTCTTGGCACTATCAGTTTGCACAAATACTCCTTGATTCCAACTTTTTGGATGTTTTATAAAAAACAACAACTAGTACAAGCTATATCCAAGCACCAAATTCATACTTCATGATACTTTTAGAGTAGTTTATACTTTATGCCACATTCTACATAAGAAATATTAATCCATTAATGAACATTTTCACACTTAAAAGAGAGAGTGAAAACTAAAAAAGGTTTTAAAAAAAATCAAAATGAACGCGCCCCATGCCCCTACAGACTTGTTTTGCCACCTAGCTTGTCGGGGGTTCATCAGGTATTTCGTATTTCCATGCTTCAGAAGTAGCACGAGGATAAGTCACAGGTGTTGGATTTTAGCTCGGTTTATTTTGATAACAATCTAGATTATGAAGAAGAGCTGGTGACCATTTAAAGAGGCATGTTTGGAAGTTGAGGTCTAAAGATATTGTACCAGTGAGGGTTCAATGGAAAGGTCAATCGGTCAAGAAAGCAACCTGGGAGACCGAGCATGATATGAGGAGTAGATATCCTCATCTTTTTGACATCCCAGGTATGGTTCTAAACCCGTTCGAGGACAAACGTTTGTTTTAAAAGGGAGAACATAACAACCTGACCAGTCGTTTTGTTTATTTGAGCCCTGTTTTCCTATTTGATGCTTCCTGTATGTTTGTTTGTTATTTTGTGACTTGGGTGTGGTTGGTTGGTTTCTAGAAGGTTTTCGGAATGAATTGGAACACTTAAATCCATTGTTAGAAGCTTAATTTATAAGAGTGGACCAAGGTTTGACTTTTGAGTATATGTCCTTGGAATGGTGATTTGATGATTCTAATAGGTTCGTATGGTGATTTTAGCTTTATTTGCCGGAAGTTGGCAATTTGAAGGTTTGGAGAGTTCATAGGATTGAATGAGAGTTGACTTTAATGTTATCGGGTTACGGTCGGTGTTCTAATAATTTGGATAGATTATTTAGTTAATCGAAATTTGTGTGCAAATTTTGCTGTAAATCTGGAATGTTTAGGCATGATTGAGACGAGTTTGGCGAAGTTAGAAAGTTTGGAGCTAAGAGATTGATTTTGATCGTCGATTCTTGGTTTTCATATTAGTTGTGGTGTTTTGGGCGTGGATAAGTTTTTAATAGGTATATGGACTTTTTGGTATGATTGGACAAGTTCTGGAGGGTTCGGGGTCTGTTTTGAGATAGTTTCAGACCACTTCCATGAGATTTGGAGCATTAGATTTTGCCGGTGACTGTGTTCATCGCGTTCGCGAGGTGGATCTCGTGTTTGCGAGGAAGGATTCTGGCAGGAGGGATTTTTTTCTATGAGTTAGCATTAGGGGGCTCGCATTTGCGAAGTGCATGGTCTGGGTGGTCATCGCGTTCGCAGAAGAGTTCACGGTAACATAGCATGAAAGTCAAGAGTGGAGGGGGGGTTGCCTTCGCGGTCACGGATCTTCGCATTCAAGAAGGGTTATTTTGGGGCTGATGTTGTCTGTGCTTCACAAGCGCAAGGCTGTGATTGCATTTGTGAAGGGTATCGCTTGGATGAACACTTAAGAGTTATATTTCAGGATTTTACTGATTCTATCATATTTTGCAACCAAGACTTCAAGAGGTGGAGATTTTGAAAAGAAATTTTACTACTAGATTGAGGTAAATAATTTTTATATGGATTTGGCTTTATATCTTGATTCTCCACAGATTTTTATATATAAAACTTGGATTTTAAAGTGAAATTTGGGATTTTTCTTTACAACTTAAGATGGTGAATTTTGAAGATTTGAAGGACGATTTGGACTTATTAATGGAATCTAATTACTTATTTTGACTCGTGAGGCTATGAGTAGTTGGGATCTATCTCTTAATTCGGGTTTTGACTGTGTAGGTCCGGGTTGACTTTTGGGAATTTTATTAAATATCGAAACTTTATTGTTTAGGATTGTTTTCAATGATTTATTTGATGTTATTGAGCTATTTTTACTAAATTCGAGTCATTTGGAGTTGAATTTGGGTGATTAGGCAATTGTTGTTTTGCTTACCGAGCGGAGGTAAGTCGTTTGTCTATCCTTGTAAGAGGGGATTCTCTCCATTGGTGACCTATATGCTACTTGTTGATACCCATTTTTTCCCTATGTATTTTTTACATGCAAATACTTTCAAATATCATATACATACATATATAAGTATGCCCAAGTGTTTTA